AGAACATCTTTCCATTGAGGGTGGCAGAGCCCTGGCAAAGGCTGCCCAGGGGGGTTGTGGAGTCTCCTTCTCTGGAACCATCCCAAACTTGCCTGGCTACGTTCCTGTGTGCCCTGCTCTGGGTGGTCCTGCAATACCTACAGACCTGCCTTCGTAGACACCTGCTAAAGGTTTGTCCCACTAGTTAATGAAAGCTGGAGCCATTTTATCCACAGCAAAGTGCTGGAACACTTAAGGAAAAGCCAACAAAACTTCTAAATGTAAATGAGAGATCTTTCCCCTCTGATTCTGGGGCAATGTCCATACTGTTTTGTTCACAACTTATGCTACAAGTACCACTACATTTATTTTCTGTCTTTGCTTGAGAAAGAAATTACCCCCTTGATGGAGAAGTGGTTGAATATCTACATCCTCATGCTCTCATACCTAGTCAACAACTGAAATCCAGCTAAAGCCAGGTGCCCTAGAAGGTTACTAAGCTAATCTTGCTCTTAAGTCATAATTTTTGGTATGATTACTTCTGAAAGGTCGAGTGCAAGCCAAAAGATTGTCTCTGTGTCTATTTATAACTTCCATAACAAGACCTAAGAGGGCCCAGACAATAATCACACCACTGTTAGGAAAGGAACTGAATGAAAAGATAGTGTTTCTCTTTGAAGTCAGTTAAACACTTTATGGAAGCAATTAAATGTATGCACTTCCTGCAAGCTTGCCTTTTAAGGTCAGGCATCCAGAAAAATTACATGTGTTCTCCCATATAACAGAGAACATTACCCTGCGTCTAAGGCCGATGCTGGTGCCTGGATGGACCTTTTCAATTCATTAGGCAAATTGCTTGGACAAACTGCTACATTAGAGCTGCTGCATATGACTCAGCCCTTAGAATGTGATGTTCCTCCTGCTCCGTGCCAGCTAAGTCTCTCACAATAGCAATTAGAAACAGAAAGTCAAGTAAAAGAAAACAAACCAAGAAGTAATTTAGGCAAAGCTGAGGGCAGATTTACAGTTTGAAGGTGTAATGGATTCACCTCACGTGTGTCTCAGAAGCAATAAATCCTGCTTAGTGAAACGTCTGAGAAAAAAGCACTGCTAGGCTATAAAACTCCACCTCTGAGGATTATAAAACAACATGCACAGAGCAAACATCCTTTCTGAGGATAATAGGACTGTCAGAAATGATTGACAACAATGACAATCTATCATAGGCTGCCGTAGCCCTGCAGCAGCATCTTGCACGGGGCTGTCTGGCAGAAGTGAATTGTTTATTCATTCCTATACCATGTGGAGGATGGAACATGTCATAGAATAAGTGCACCTTTTCTTTCCATCTGCTTTTATGCACCCACATTATCTAAGTACACCTTTTAGTTCATATTACACCGTCTCAATTTTCCCCTCGGATTTCTCCCCCCTTTCAGCGCTGCTATGCAGATGATGACTTGCTAAGCACTGCTTAGAGGAAGGTGATGCCTTTCTACCTCCTGCCTGACATCAGGGAGCTGCTGCAAACCTGAAACAAGTATGAGAAAGGAGCAACGTGGCTGCAGAGCTCCTACCCTCACTCAGAGGGAGGGTGATGCTCCCTTTCCAGAGCTCTGCCAGCCCAGCAGCAAGCATGCAGCTCAGTGAGCAGTCCCTCCAGTGGGGCATTTTCATGATGAGGAAATCCTATCCGGGGTGCTTAATGGATGGAGACCACCAGGGGCAAGAGATCCCCGCGGACTGTAATGACTTTCATTAAATCACTGTCTTCCCTGGGCAGAATCTGAGCTGACAGCCTATTGCTGAGAGACTCCACAGAGCTTATTACCTAGCCCTGCATGCAGTTTAATACTGCTGACGGGGCTGCCATAGCAGCAGTGGCCTCTCTGCCAGCTCCCAGCACCATGCTCACACTCATCCTGCCAGTGCTACTTCAGTTGACATTGATGACATTTATGGAGGCAGGAAGAGTGCAAAATATGCAAGGGAATGCCCTATTTCCCAGGGAGAAAGCCCTATCATGTGTGGGAGGTGAGATGATTTTTTCCCCCCATTTTATCTGTTTCTCTATCCCATGTTTACCAATAAGTGACATCCAACATGGCAGATTTCTCCTATAAAGCCGCAGTCACTACCACCACAGGTGCTTGTACACCACTACTGCAAAAACTGAGGCATGAAAATCAGTAAAAACTAGAGCAAATTGGCAAAACAGATGGGCAAAGAGGTTCATCCAAGAAGCCGAGGAGGGAGAAAGAAATATGGCCTAATGAAGGGACTGAACTGACTCGCAGGAGCATAGAGTTCACATTCAGACTATGAGAAAATACAGCTGTGAAACCCTGAACAACCCCTCCAGTGCTTCTGTTGCTCTTCTCCATGATGATAAGCATCCTTGTTATTCCACCCTCTCAGTGCAGCTTCACAGGCAGATGCACACGGTCCACAGCGCAGCCTGGTCCAAAAATGCTCACAGCATTTTCCATAGTGGAAAACTATGTTTGACTGATTTCATGATTTATCTCAAGACAGAAAAAATGATTCAAGATCAAAGTTAGATCCATGGTAGATCTTCTGGCCTACTGGTGCCCAGGCAGGGTTATTAAACCTCGTGTAATTTCTTTCCACATCACAAAGACAGCAAACATGAGACATCATCCCCACTGGCTGTGCTTTCAAAGCAGATTCATAGTGTCAGAGAAGTGAGAATGGCCATTAACTGTCCCCTTTGCTCCATCACTTCTAGTGGGTTAGCAGTCCAGCTAATTCCTACCCAAAACTTCAAGCTGGATGTTCTCTCCTCAGATTATTTACCAGCCAAAATCAGGTCCACACCAAGAGAGGAGAAAAGGGAGTAAAAGGTTCGAGCAATGGATTTCAGCTTATCTTTGCACAGAGCCTTGCACAATCAGTCTTGGTTAGAGCTGCAGGGCTCCATCTTCCCATAAAAAACACTAGCTGGGAAGAAATGAGATCAGGTCAGGAAAGGGAAATAATTGCATTGGTGATGTTTTTTCCTCCTGTGTAATTAGAGCCATAGGGCACTCTGCAGTCAGGGTTGGTAAGTACTTTATATGCACACGCTGGTGGTGATATTCCTGTTTAGGTAGCTTGCTGCCAGCCACATGTTTCCTCATGTTATTGGGGTTTTTTGTACTTGATGCTGTCACTTGTTTAGTTCCATCCTTTTACTCACCACTACCACTTCTCATCCTGTCATCCCTCCAACTCTCAGGCAGAAAACAGTCCTGTCCTTTCTGGGAAGCGATCCAGGATCCCCACACATCAGGAGGATGCAGGAGCACTTGACATTTCCCCATTGTTAATAGCATTTCCTTAATCAGTCACTCTATCACAGGCACTTAACATGTATTCAGGACAACTGATAAGTAACAGAGCCATTCTCGAGAGCTAAAAAAGGATTCCTGCACAAGGAGATTATCTATAGGTGCCTTTTTGTCCCATATTTATTTTAATCTGCAAGATGCAGATGCCTGTAAGCACCTGCCTACTCTCCTGCCTGACTCCCCAGTGTATTCCCACCTCCAACACAGGCTATGGGAGCAAATCCAAATGCACAATCTAACCCTTTGTGCTCTCTGTGACATTTCAGCAGTATTCTGTCCATTGGTTTGGGGTAAATGGAGGTGACTTGTCTCAAGACATACCACAGGGACATAAACACCATACTCACAGAAATGAAATCCTGAGCACAGTTGTAATGATTCACTCACTGTGCATTCCACAGCCTCCAAAGCCTGGATTGACTCCCCGTGCAAATATATCCAACATTAAAACACATATGCCACTAATAGCAGGGATCCCCAGGCCACTTCTTGCACGCACCAAGATCTCTACCAGCCAAAGTAATTAGAGCCAAAGGCTTTGAAAGCGAGAGAAACAGGTAAGAGAACCACCAGACTCCACATGGGAGGATATGGGAGTAAAACACAAAAATACATAGTTTTCTCTGCTTGCATCCTCCATTTGGACACTTGTAAAGTGCTGGCAGCAAGTGACAGGAACCTGGGCTCTGGGGACACATTGGTTAAAGGAGTAATTGCAGTAACACTACCTGCACCGCCATGTGCTGGTACTTGCAATGGCAAGCCAGGGTTAGCACAGGATAGCAGTCAGGAAAACCCTGAAGATTATTATTTTGCTAATCCTTATAGGAATAATTTCCTCTCTTCTACGTCCTTGTTACATGTCTATCAAGAGGCAATGAGCACAAACTACAATATGGGAAATCCCAGTAAGATGTTCACAAGACCAAAAGTCCCCCATGAGAGTGGTCTGAGCGTGGGGGCCAGACTGTGTGATCCCAGCCCTGGAGAGCTCAGGACAGTCTCAGACCTGCTTTGTGAGGGTTTAGGGCTTACCAGAGGAGAAGGGGAAGGAGGACACCCTGTTTCCAAAACAGCCCTCCACTATGGGCTGCCATTTTCCATCCAGGCTTTACAAATAAAGACCAAAAGGGAATATATATACTGAATACTTCAAAAGGGTCTTTTTTATAGGATGAAGGAAGCACACTAGAATGCAGGAAACCTACAGAGATTTTATGTCAAAGCAGCAGAGGCACAAAGAAACATCTGCACACGGTTTCATGACTTCTAACTGGAGTTTCAGAGCATGGCTAAACCAACAGCTCAGTTATGTGTCTGGCACTTCTAAAACTGGCATTCAGCACAGATGCTCAGTGGCAAAATGACTTTCTTTTCTAGGGCTGATGCTGGATTCCCACCAATGGGTATTGGTTCATTTTTCTCCTGAAACGTCAGAGCAATTCTCAACCCTAAATGTGAGATCCAGGCCCATCACAAGCAACATGCTCCAATCACTGAGAGGCCTTTCACACAGCTGCAGATTTCAGGAGCCAAAGACAGTTTTAAACAAGAGTCAGGGACTAATGTTTTCCACTGGTAAAACTGTCCATGAAAATGATGTACTGCCTCTGGATCTATGTAATGCGCCTTCCTTGTGTCCTAACAAATGGGAGTTTATTGATTTCTTACCTGTGCATCCATAAGAAGGTGCCTCATCAACATCATGGCATTTTTGAGGGATTCCTTCTCGCTGGGCAAAAAGGCATCTTCATCTTCATCCAGTGTTTTTGACTTGTTGACGATGAAATGGGAGATCTGGTCATTCAAGGAATGAAGCGACTCCACAGCTGCGGAGACAGAGAGGGAAAGCAAAAAGGGAATGAAACTGTGCTGGAAGGAGCTGACACCATTTCTCAGTTTGAGAATCCATACAATCTGCTTTTGAAAGGTGTAGCTGGAAAATGGTGCCCGTGACCTCCCTTTCCCTCTCTGCTGAGAATGCCATCAAAGGCACGGTAAAGACTAGTGACTACCATGAAGTCAAATACTGATGGAGAACTGCAGCAACAGCAACAAGGTGATATAGCCTAAACTAATAGAGTTACTATAGAGTTAACTATAGAGTTAACACTAAGTGAACACTACAGTGTTAATTTTTGGTTACTTCCAGATACCAAGCAGACTCAATTAGAACCCAAGCACTCAGTCTCACTGCTCCCCCAGCCAAGACACATCCAGTCAGTTTTCCCTATGTGATATGGTTTTGCAGCACCAAAATTGTATTTTCAATAGTAAATGCATGCTTCAACAGGCATGAGGGTTATGAAAGCACTGAGTTATTGCTCTAAGGATCAATAATTATAAATAACCAATAGGTATATGTGCATCTAAAGTTAACTCTAAGATTTAAGCTCATACCCAAGCAGTAGCTAAGGGAATATATGGATGGGAACAAGATGCACTGAAAATTTCTGAAACAGAATAGTTGGTTACAAAGAATGCTTTTCATAAGTTTGTCCCATATTAGCATTCATAAAAGTCAGTTGAAACTAAAGATCGTTTCTGTGAAGAAGCAACCCATAAGCCTTGTCTCCTAGGATATGGCAGCTGTAGTGTATAGCTGTGAAGAAATAAATTGCCAAATAACAGCTCATTGCTAGAGTTAAAGTAAGAAAAAGAAGTCTCCTGGCTCCCAGCTCAGAAACCTGCTCCCTACAGTGCGCTGGAACCCAGAACTTGAGACTACATGAAGGCAGAAGCCAGGAAAATTGGCTTTTTATTACCTAGGGTATGCAGAGCGCAAGACAAACAACTAAAATACTGGTCATTTACTTTATTCACAATTATAGGTAATTGAAACACTGTTAATCTTTTAAATTCTCCTTCACAGGGTCAAGCCCCAGGTATGATACATGGATTCTGCTCCCAATCATGCATAGCAGAAATCACCAGCTCCACGGCTCAAGGAGTCCTCCAGCAATTCCACACACTTTATGATGCTGCAGTTTACACAGGCTGTAATAGCAAGACTAATGGCAAAATATGTTCCTTCTGCCCAATGAAAAGCTTTGCTTTGCTACAGATCTGAAAGCTCTACCATGCAATTTGCTTTTATCCTATCCCAAGGCTGGAGTTTTCATTTTACTGTAGGCTCATTAAACAAATGAGGCTCCAATAACTGGTCAGTGTATTTTCCTCCTGCCAGTGGTTCATGCAGTGAAGCCCTTTGAGGAGTTTGCAGCTCAAAGTAACACATCACTGTCACACACACTGAACTGCGCTTCAGCTGTACCCACTGCAAAGCCTGATTTGCTCAGGCTGTTTATGAATAAGGCAATGAGTTATTTAGGACTCTTCGACAGACTGATTTTAAGAACACGAGGCAACTGAAATACACTCAACCTGTTTCTGTCCAAAGACGATCTTAGCACAGGATTCAAAGTAGTAAAGATTAGCCAGAAGCCGTACTCATTCAAGGGCAAATCTTCCCCAGACAAAGGTTGATAACAGAAACCAGGTGTCTCCAAAATGTAAGTGAAAGGACAGAATCCTCCTTATTGAAAATACTTTTTATGGGGGACTGGGAGGATTTCCCAAGCTTGGGGTATTCATGTACCTCACCGCTAATAGAAAAGGTATTTGAGGCTCACCGTGATGATGTCTCCACTTTAAACCATACCATCAATCATATTCAAGATAAGGGCTTTGCAATAACTAAATGGACCAGCTTCAGCTTTCCCAAGCATACAGCCATGGGCTTAGGGTGGCAGTGGGTCACACACAGGCACTGGGAAAGCATAGAGACTGCAGCCCAGCAGCCTGGACAGCACCAGGCTCCTTCGCCTGAGCCACTCAAGCACAGGGATGTCAGCTTTGCAAGTTGTTCCACCCAGCAAAACAGAGGCTCGCTCCCTCTGTATAAAAGCTACTGAGTCCTGCAGCCATGGCACCTTCAAGGTGCAGCAAACCAGCATAGTGACAAGTAAGTATATCACTGGGGTGGATAGTGTACTAAGCTGGTCATGTTCCTCTTCTGACTGTCAGATGCTGCGAGGGCTGGAGCAGCTCTGCTCTGGAGCCAGGCTGAGAGAGCTGGGCTGGGTCAGCCTGGACAAGAGAAGGCTCCTGAAGGGGAGACCTGAGAGCAGCTCCAGTGCCTGAAGGGGCTGCAGGAAACCTGGAGAGGGGCTTGGGACAAGGGATGTAGGGACAGGCCAAGGGGAATGGCTTTAACCTGCCAGAGGGGAGACTGAGATGAGCTCTTAGGCAGAAGCTCTTCCCTGTGAGGGTGCTGAGGCGCTGGCACAGGGTGCCCAGAGAAGCTGTGGCTGCCCCATCCCTGGCAGTGTTCAAGGCCAGGTTGGACACAGGGGCTTGGAGCAAGCTGCTCTAGTGGAAGGGGTCCCTGCCCGTGGCAGGGGTTGGAGCTGGGTGAGCTTTAAGGTCCCTTCAACACAAACTAGTCTGATTCTACAATTAAACTTTAAGTAAAGTTACACACGACCATCAAGGCATTTGGAAGTTTTTCCAACATCACAGTTTCTCTCTGCACAGTTTATCGTACTGACTGTGTGACCTCTGGGTCTTCTTTCATAGTACTCGGTCCTGGTCATTGCCAGAAAGAGATCTTAGGGCTTGGATGCATCTCATGTACCTTCCCCTTTCTTTCTTGCTTTCTACCTCTGAGGTTAAACTGGACAAGATAAAGAGCCATTACTGACAATTTCATATGGGCTGGTTTTGTTTAGTTCAGTATGTCAATACCTCATTTACAGCTAAACAGAACAAGAAGATGAAGGAGCCTTCAAGAAACTGCCCTCAGCCAAAACATTTCAGTGCTGCTCTCCAGAGCAAAAACTTGCTGATAACATGTAGACAAAAGTCACCTGTGCCACAAATCCTCCCTCACCACGTAGTCAGCAACACCCAGACAGTTGGGCAAGCAGCAGATCCACCATCAGTCCCTGCTTTCACTCAAGATGCATGATCCATCAGAACAGCGGGAGACAGACGTGGATTTCGCGGGTCCACACAGTGCAAATGAAGCCATAAAACTGTAATCATACAATCACGGACTGGTTTGGGGTGAGAAGGACCTTAAGATCATCCAGTTCCATATCCCTGCCATGGGCAGGGACACCTCACGTATGGGTGTGCAAATTGTTCAGTAGGGTCCTTGCATTGCCCGCTGCTCCCGGGTCTCCTCCTGGGTGTATTTTGACAACACACACATCCTGCACCAATGCCAGGGACAGCATTTCCTCTGGAAAGTCTCTGCATCCATTTCCCATACTCAGGCACCTAAAAGTTTAAGCACTTTCTCTTTTCTGAGGCCCATTACCACGGGTATGTTCACACCATTATAAATAAAGGTCTGTCAGCATTTCTATTATAAATCTCTGCAAGTCAGGCAGAAGGATTCATTCCAGCACAGAGGGTGGTGCTGATGTGATTTTCTTTTCTCCCCTCTAACGAAAAGGGAAGTGAAGAACTAAAAGCCACACAAAGCTTTTGCCTTCTTAGAGAATTTTTATTTCTTGAAAGAAAGAAAATCAGGGCTTAGCATTCCTCCATTCACAGGCACACAAGGATTTCTCCAGCACTTTTCACTTTCCAAAATCAGTTTTACCAAGAATTTGATGGCCTGCAAGCAAAAGCTTAGACATGTCTTGACTACATAATAATTTTACTGAAGGGGGGGACCTATGTACATCACACGCTATTGCATATCACAACCCAGGCCACCATCATCCTTGTAAACCAAACATCTCCTCATGCGTTAATGCACACGAAGCCAGAGGTACCTCACAGCGATGCTCTGCTGTGGATACAGGGGAGCTGAGCTTCTCCAAGTCACCATGAAGCAATCATTTTGGAATTGTATGTCCTCACACCAGCCAACACTCAAAACCCTCAGGCAGTGTTCAAGGCCAGGCTGGACAGAGCCTTGGGCGACATGGTCTAGTGTGAGGTGTCCCTGCCCATGGCAGGGGGTTGGAACTGGATGATCCTAAGGTCCTTTCAATCCAGACCATTCTATGATTCTATGAAGCTGTAGGCTTCTCATACACAACTGCAGCAGGTATATGGCTACACGCAGGCAGCAGCAGATTTAATTTTCTTATCACTCCTAGGCTGCACTAGCATCTCTATCAGACACGTCAGTCCTGAAAGTCATCTTCCCAGCACGAGTATTGATTTATCCCATCCTTTCTGACCAGTGCAGAATTGAAGACAGAGAAATTCCTTTATCCCCTGAAATTTTGGCTTGAGCCAGAAGCCCACATCTGCTTTCAGTAATATGAATGTACATGAGAGTTCTCCTCCTCGAGCTAATGGCTTCCTGCCAGATTCACACTGACTATGACCAGGAACGGGTACGTGGAACAGTTCTTCCATCTTTGTGATGTTAAAGTAATTCAATCCACACAAAATTAGGTTATCCAAAGTTATACCAATCTTATCTGAAGCAATAGCTCCATATTCTGCAATATTTCTTCTCTTTCCCTTTAAGAAGTTTAGTGCTGTTTGAGCAATATGTAGCACATTGAGCTCTGGGGGGCAAATGCTTGTCTCATTTGTAATTCTCTTGGTTTAGAGAAATCAGAAGAATTATTTTCCAGTGAGAAGGTGGAAAAAGCAGATGAGTATTTGACTTGCTCTGATCTTTAACAGCATCTGCCATAGCCCTATGTTCAAGCTCTGCTTAGCAAAACAAATCTTTTTCCATGCAGGCAATGGAAACTGTATTTGAAAATAAAAGCATCTGAGTCTTCCTCATGAAAGCAGAAGGTGCGTTTCCAACCCTCCAACCTGCACACACAGTAACACCAAAGAAGCCTAAAAC